TGGCATGGTTCTCCGCGTGACTCCTCCAGCTCCAGGGTTCTGGGTGAATCAGCATAGCTCGATCAGGCTCGTCATCAGTAATGTCTCACAGGGAGTGTGTGTGTGTGTCATACCTCCGGTGAACTATTTATCTCCATGGCATCTCCAAATGAGGTCATCAACCTGTCACTTGATTGACAGGCTAGACTCTACCGCTCCACAAGTTGACAGCAGATTATGTAACTACCACAGTGGCAATGTTTGATGTTGTGGTATATAAGATTGCCTTGATTTTTAGTCAACTGGATGACAACTAACAAAAAACAACAGCATTGTTTAAAGAGTATGTTTCTGTTTGGGATGATTAACAAAATCTGGAAATAGATATTAATGATGATTATACAACATTGTAAATGAACTTAATGCTGTCAACTTTGACACTGAAAATGATAAAACTGTAAATTTTTTGGAATCATTTTATTGGGGGCTCATACAACTCTTATCACAATCCATACATCAGTTGAATCAGGCATGTTTGTACATATGTTGCCTTCATTCTTTTCTAGACATTTTTCTATTGAGCCCTTGGTATCAGCTCTTTTACCGCCCCCCACCTTCCACCCCTCCCAAACAGGAAATTTTATATATATAAAGATTGTAATCTTTACAAAAGCAAATTGTCATATATCTTTCCTGAGGAGAAGCTAGTAGGTTTGAATTGCTGACCTTTCATTTAGCAGGCAAGAACATAAACACTGCATAGATAACTAAAAGGCTGTGGGGCTGTGAATCACACTTAGTGATACTGTCAGAGGTGTGACACCAAAATGTCTGTAAATTTTTTGTAGAGTTTTAGCAGAAATTTTAATTTTTACTAAAATATCCACAGAGTTAGTGAGATATAGTCAATTACTATGGCCCTTCTAGCCAAAATTCCTTCTGTGATGTATTATAATTCTGGATTCTATGCCTGGAACTATGACCCTATTTTGGAGGGAGTTCTATATTACAGGATTAAGCCCCTGACCTTAATAGAGACTATTTACCAAATTACACCCTTTGTTTCCTTAGGGGCATCTCTAAGACAACTTTAGAGGATGGAACTTAAGACACCAATCATTAGTTTCCTTGAGGGTATGGTCAGCTAAAATACAAACACCTTAATCAAAGCCAATTCTCAGTATGTAAGAGCAATCTAGGACACAGATACAAATTACAGGAATATTTGGAAGAGCATGTTCAAGATCTGTCTTAAGTCAGTGCAGCCAAGACCAGATGCACTAGAGCCTGTGGCATGGAGATTCATAGGAGCAGCTCCAATACTCTGGGGTACCATTTTCATCTAGCCCCAGAAAATGAAACTGTTGGACGTATAGGCTGGCTGGCTTCCTTGACTCCTGGAAGTAAAGGCCAAGGGACCATGAAGATGAGAGACCGAGAACCAGAGAAAGACTTGGCTGCTGGCCGAGGGGAGGTGTTACTGTGGACCAATGACTGCATCCTTACTATTTGCTGATCCCGATTTGTGGTAATCTATTAATTTATCCAATAATGCCCTTTAAGAGTGAACATTGTGAGTTCTCTGTGACCATTGCAAAGAATTATCAAACCCACCATGTAAGTAGAGTGCCATGAGAGTAATGGTTAGTATCAGAATAGGGTCAATAAGACTGGAATATCTGACCCCTGCCTTGTTAATGGGAAAGCCAGAGGTGAGCCTGTGAGTTATCAAAAGACTTTCCCCCAGCTTTGTCTTCCCCAAAGATTTGCCAAGCCTTAGAGGCTGTTTGCCAGCACATGGGGGGAGGTCAGATGCTTAGAGAGACTCTCCCTGAAGGCATTCAGCCATCAAACTACTGTCTGGTCCACTGTAGGTGGGGCTCACACCCTACTGATAAGGATAGTAATTGTTTCCTTGGAGAGACAGAGAAGTGGTCAGACCTGCTCAGTGACATCCAAAGTTAGGCTGCCATCCTGAATCTAAGATCTGCCCACCTTGTCACATGTTTACCCCCAATCCTTCCCCTTCCTATTGCATGTATGCCCCTAGATCGTCCCCCTCCCATTACTATATTACCTATAGTACAACCCCTT